TGGAATGAATAGACATAGCAGATGGTTGTATGGTCTTGTCTTTTTTTTTCCCCCTTTCTCTTTCCATCTAAAGGATATCTCCTTTCCACTGCTCTTCTTTCTTCCCTGTCCGGTTCGGCATTATTAGACACATGCAAGTTTGGTAACTAAATAATAAATAAAGCAGTTTTGGGTAATCAACGGGGGTAACAAATCAATAGCCAAAGTATCTTTATATTCAATATACAATCTCGTCAACGTGTATTATGCGAGAAGAAGAAAAATAAACACCCTTCAACCTGTATTGGAGCCGAGTTTCATCATTAAAGTCAGCGAGTCATACAGAGCCCTACGTCCTTCCCTCAGTGGATAATTTGGAGTGCGATAGTCACCCTACATTGGGCGTGAGTTTTAGAGATTCTCACCGATGTGGTTGTTGGCCATCCTCTTCAGCAGGCAGGGCTCCTCGCGGCCCGACGGCGCCCGGATGCTGGCCGTCAGCAGGCTGAGGTCCGTCTCGTTGATGTCCAGAGAGAAATCGGCGGCCGAGCCCAGTTTGACCTGAGAGCGCCTCTGGTTGTCCTCTGGAAGAGAAATACAGCTCCATGTAAACTTAATCCTTCCCCACACAGGTTATCCCACACCGTTATTCATGTGTACACACGTTCACGTATCTGTGTTTAGATTAGTTTATAACTGCATATAGTGCACAAGCCATGTGCAGCTCTTTATCCACAATTTAGTTTTTTTTACTATTAAATTCTAAAACCTTTAATGTAAATGTATATTAGGCAACTCATTTAAAAAAAACAAAAAAAAAAACTTTATACTGACGGTTGTACCATATAAGACTGTATCCACAATTTAGTATTTTACAATTAAATTCTAAAACACTTAACGTAAATGTATATTTAGCAACTCATTTTTAAAAACAAAACAAAAATCTTTTGCCTATACTACCGGTTGTACCATATAAGACTGCATTCACAATTTAGTTTTTTACTATTAAATTCTAAAACATTTAATGTAAATGTATATTTAGCAACTCATTATTTATTTATTTTTTAAACAAACTTTATACTACCGGTTGTACCATATAAGACTGTATCCACAATTTAGTTTTGTACTATTAAATTCTAAAACCTTTAATTTAAATGTATATTTAGCAACTCTACCGGTTGTACCATATAAGACTGTATCCACAATTTAGTTTTTTACCATCGAATTCTAAAACCTTTAAGCTACTGCTTTGTTTCCTTTGGCCCTTTGTGGGGAGAGAAGGACAACCTGTGTGGGCTGTGGATATAAATCACATTTAAAGCCAATAAAACCAGAGAAATCTGCTTTTTCATCCATTTTTACGAAGAGAAATCGCAATAAATGAGCTCCTGGAACTAAACGTTTCTGTATTAGATTTCAGATGCCCACGTTCCCCCCTTTTTAAACACATTTGGACATGAAGCATGTGATCTAAAAGTCAGACTTGTGTTTAAGTGTTCAATTGTTTAGGCTTTTTTGTAATAAAACCACTATCTTGTTTCATTATTCTCAGCCCTCCTTTTATACAAATAATAGTGTGCTGAGCAGCCTAAAGCCTGGTTACACAGGTTTGATTTAGGAGGCTTGTGGAGCATCCCTGATGGATTATCACGCTCGTTTTATGGTCAGTTAGTGATTGAAAGCACGGGAAACAGGGTCAGAGAGGCCAGACATGAGAACAAAGTCAGTGTTATCAGATTTTGGTAAAACTGGGGGGTAAAAGCCTGAACTGTTAAGGTCATAGTGCAGCTTTAATAACAGGAAGGCTGGAGATCAGCCAGGTTGGGTTTTTATTTAACTCATTGACTGCCAAAGACGTCTATAGACGTCTTTTATGTTTTTCAATGAGAGTGGCTTGGGGGACGATCTGCTAAAGCTTGTCCGTAAATATCGGCTTCTAGACAGAGTATGTAGTAACAAATTGACCCTCTAGGTGCCTGTGCCACTTTTGATGGGAGATGAGCATAGACTGTAGGCAAATAAATAAAAAAAACACAATGGTTCGCTATGCGAGAAATGTCGCCAGTGAGACGCAAGTCGAGGAAGAACGGACTAAGGTAGAAACAAATGTTTTTTCCTGATGAAAGAAGAGAGTCTACTCTTTCTTTTGGTGTGTTTGGTGTTTACATAGTCATAGCACAAACTATTCTGTGGCTCTTGAAAAATCAGTCAAAATGCTCAAAAAAAACTCTGGCAGTATGGGACTCTCTGTTCTGAAAATGGCTGGCAGTCAATGAGTTAAATGCAGTTTGTGTAATTGTTTTATTTTAGAAACGGGTGTGAGGCTGAGGTGTGTGTGTGTGTGTGTGTGTGTGTGTGTGTGTGTGTGTGTGTGTGTGGGGGTATTTCTGACCGGTGATCCTGGCTGTGAAGGGGCTGCCGGCGATGT